AATTAATTTTTATGGGGTGAGGTTTGTTCTTATGTGAATTGTTTAGTTGACTGAAAGTTAAACTGTTTAGGATTTTTCATTGGCAAGAATAAGTTTTTGGTGCTGCTAATGGGTAGGCCCTGAAGGTGAAATCTTTTAGAAATACCACATTGAACTGCAATAATTGATTTGGGGACGTGTGATGCTACTGCTTTCTTTACTATGATGTGATATTGTGACGTGCCTTCCTGATTTGGCTTTTTATTGAAGTCCTTTTGCGAGAATATTCAATTCTATGGAGTTGGGCGATGGAAGACCAATCACAATGTTGCCTAGTAGAATGTGAGTGTTCGAACGCCAGAAAGGATTTGGTACAAGGATGTTTACCACCTTTATAAAATTTTCCAGTAGAAGCCTCTTTAGAAAGGGCATGAAGTATGGTATTGGAACATGGATGATATATGACACATGCATTGGTGATTGATTAGACATCTTATAGCATACTGTAGGTTTAGCTTTGCAAATTCTTACTAAGATTTTGCTTGAGCACTCTAATTGTGATAAGACATTTTTTTGGACAAAGCCAAAGAAAAAAAGAGTTTGCCAATTTAGTTAAATGGTTTTCACAATTACTAATTTTGTTACTAACTTGATTTTCTTTTTTTGGGTCACTTTAACCTTACATTGTTATGGGATTCTATGAACTTGATCAAATCTGATTTGTGATTGTTTCAGTTCAAGTACATTGAAGTATGATTAAAGATGTTATAAAACAATGAGGTGTGAACTCTTGATCTGTGTGTGTGTGTGTGTGTGTGTGTACATGTGGTTTCTGTAATGGTACTCTAGTTCAACGCATACAGGGCTTTGAACAGCTCATGTTGTGAGGTTCTCTGTGCGTGTGCGCGCTTGCGCTTGAAAATGGAATGCCAACATGTTTAGGCTTGTATGACTGTTTCTTTGGCACTCTGTATTTAACCATTTGGTGTTCTTCTAGATTTTGATGTGTCTAACTTGCCCTATATCAATATGTATGTATTTGTAGGAGGAGTTATATATTTTGGTTTTAATATGGACAATGCTCTGGAGTATCGTGACAGTGTTGAGATTTTTTTTGCTTGTATGCTGGTCATATATATGAGTTAAAATCAATCTATATGCTCTGTTTGGCTTCTGAGAAGTTCAAAATGAATGAAGGAAACTGTGATCTCTTTCCTTCCACCCATCCTTTTTTGAACTTAAGAATATCATCTGCAGTTAACTGAGTTAATTAAAACTATTTTATTTACCAGCTGGGGTGATTTTACTTATAGGAACATGATGAATAAAAATATGGAGTAATTATGGAGGCTTTAACTTTGTATTTTTCTTCCTTGTAATAAGAGTGTTTAAGTTTTTGGGCAATTAAGCAAAAAAATGTCGAATACTACTAAAGAGTTTGTTTTCTTTGCCCTAGCATGCATCATTTTGAGAAATAGATTGCTCATATTGCTTTCTTCTCTGAACAGGAAGTTACGGTGGAGCTTTTCTAGACAGAACGGGCGTGAAAAGAAATATATTACATGGGCAGTCATGAGCTGGCTTCTATCCTGAGCTGGCATGAAAAGAAATATATTTCTGGCTGAAGCAGCCTCTGTGAATTGTGTGCTTGACCTGGAGAGGTGGTTGATAGCTGTAAGAGAAGACAGCTGAGCTGATTGTGCAGATTCGGCTCAACCAACTCTCTTAGGGGCGCACATAAGATGTGACCTTCCTGATTAGGTTGCTTCAATTTTCTTGAACTGTTATGTGTTATATATTACATGAATCGTTATCAGCCTCTTCGGTTGCTGCAAACTGCAAAGTGTGCTTTGCCACCATAGGTAATCTACAGTAATAAATGAGCAAGATATCTTCTCTGTATAAGTGCTGATAGCTTTTGTTGTCTAAACCTGTTTTTCACACATGGATTTTTTCTTTTAATTGCTATGTGAAATACATTAGTCCACTTTAGTTTATAAGAAATGATGCAATCCATTCTTATTTTTAGGTTCATATCATTTGGGAGATCTTGTAATGGACCCCAGGTTTATCCACTCTTTGATGGACAGTTACTACCATTCCTTACTAATTACAATCATGGTTTGCTTCCAGACTTGTTTAATTGGACCTGAACACTCCAGAAAGTGTGTATTCTAGTTCAGAAATATCTCTCCGTTAATTTTCTGAAGTTCACAGCTACCCAGCTTATGCTTTTGTCAAGGACAGTTACTACCATTTCTTATTTCTGACGTTCCACTCATGTTTTATTTTTTACATTTTACTGCTATTGGTATTTTTACTTCAGAATGCTTTGTTTTGGTTGCCAAGAAAGTTGATGAAAATGGGTAGATTTTGGGATTGTGTTACATGTTTTGTTCCTTTTGGATTTTTTGTTTTGGAAAATGACTTTTTGTGGTCTCCATTGAGCTGAATAGTTGTAGGTTTTTCGAGAGAGTGGATGTTAGTGATTATTGATAATTACTATTGAAAATCATTTCAATGCAATTTTGTATACCTATCTAATTTGTATTTATCTCAGATATTTCCTTCATTATTGAAAATTTGATGCGGGTTTGATGCGAAATTATTGCAATTTGGCTTAATCTTGTATTTCACAGTTTCTTTTGCCTTGGGTGATTCTTTGTGTTACTATCAATCTAGCATGTGACAAACATTTTGACTATATGTTTCTGAATTTCATTTTCATATGTTGTTATTTACATTTGTGCATTTTTATATTAATTGCTGCTATGTCTACAGTCTTCATTTCCTGTGGTAATACTCTTGAAATTCTGTCTGCTTCAGCATTTGTGTTTTTGTATTAACTATTGGCTGGCATTTTTGTGAATTGGGATTTTTTTATGAACTACTAGAGTGCATTTGAAGGTTGGGTTGTTTCGTTTAATCTAAATTTCATTTTGTTTTACTTTCTTGGTTTTTTGTTCTCTGTGTTCTACCTATCACTTTATACCAATACTTAAATAATTTTGGGTAAGGGTAATAGGTGACTCATAAAATATCCCTCTTGGATCGCTACCACCACTGTTATTTTCATGGGTTTTGCAGATTTTTTCAAATATTGATCTTATAGTGGATGAAACATTGAAAAATTATTGTTTGTCAAACTTCCTAGGCTTTATAGAAAACCTATCGTGTAAAGACAGATGTCAAGAACCTCGACCAGAGCATGAATCAATAGAGACTGCAATAAAATTTAGCAATTGAGGAATGATGTCATTTTTTTTTTGTGAATTAAAAAAATATGTGCAAATTGGATTTATTTTTCTATATATTTTTTAGTTTACCACCACCGTGTTATTTTCATGAGTTTCGGCGAGCACTTCAATTTTGTTGTGCGGCATTATCCAAGGGATGATGCAGACTTGTTCAAGGAAATGAGTGGGGTGAAAAAGGTTTATGAAAAAAATTTAGTTGTTTATGAAAAGGACTTTTTCATGTGTTAATTACTTTGATTACTTACATTTTTATTTTTGACAAATTGATTTTTATTTTATTTTATTTTTTGCTTGAGGTGGATGATTTCGGGTAGGAGATTTTGTATAAATTGTGTAATTTTGAACAAAAAGGTTGAATTTTGTTTGTGGGTTTCGGCACTTGGGACAGAAAGTGTGTTCAATTCACCGCATCTACTATTACTACTCATCCAACTCATGGTGGTGTCTTTTATATGTTCAATTTGTCTAATTAATTCATGATGTCTATTTCTATTTGTCTAATTCTTGGTGTCTACTACTATTTGTTTAATGCATTCAATAAATGTTTTGATTTTGCAGTTTGTCTTTTGATAAACAAGTCGCGCCATTGTCAAATTCTTCGGTAGTTTTTTGGTGATTTTCTTCCCATCTCATAACTCAGGTTGTTTCTATCAAAATTGAATATGGTTGACTCAAATTGTGCTTCAGTTTTTTTCAAATGCCGATTTTTATTCAAATAGTACACACGCACACAAATATGTTTTTTTTTGAAAGACAAATATATTTGATTGTTACTACTTTTTGAGTGAAAAACTATAGTTCTGAATTAATTCAAAATGATTTTTATTCATGGGAGGTATCGAATATGACGATCATCTATTCAATATCTATAATAAAAGAACTTCTGAAGTGATGTTATTAGCTGTATTCTAAATTTTGATTTTAATTATATTATATCTAACATGAATCTATCTATATTATAAATTTTGTTTAAGATTATATTTTAGGCAAATTTGTTTTTTTAATAGAATTTTGATTTTCATTGTACGTAATATGAATTTATTTGTATTATAAATTTTGATTTTTATGATTCTTTTGTTTTGAATGTATCTTTTTTAATAAGTCTTAGGTTTTTAAAACTATTTTAGGTTAATTTATTTGTATTAATAAAACTTTGGTTTCTTTTATATGTAACACGTATTTATCTGTATGATAAATTTTTATTTTTTTCAGAATGTTCAATCAATATATAGCAAAGAAAAATTCTTTGAAAATAGCCACACAAAAAGGCATTAAACAATATATTTATTAAATATTTTGGATGTGTGTGTGTGTGTGAGAGAGAGAGAGAGAGGCATTAATAGAGGAAACATAAAAGAGAATTGGGTAGACTTTTTATTGGGAAGTGTGGATTTAATGCAGAATAATTGTGCCTCCCTATTTTTTCTCCTACTTTTGTGTTGCAAAGAAAATGTCATAGTATTTTTTGTTACAGTCAAAAGGATTCTTTTGACATGAGAAACCGTTACCAAAAAAAACGGGACGTGGGTTGGGCAAGATAATTGTATGCCGTGCGGTTTCATTAAGAGTAGATTCGCACGTGGAGTGGTAGATAGAGCGCACACAATTAGGGAGGAGTGATGTAGGAAACACCTCTTGCATGCCAGGAGCTTTTTTTGGGTGCTACAGAGATTCAATTTGGCAAATTATGCAGAAATTCTTAACAGTTCTATAAGATACAAAACTCGAATTCTTTTATGTAGTGTATTGTGGGTCAAAACCACCTGGCAGACTGGTAAATAAATAATAAAAAGTATAAGCTGCTACTTCTTCCTGTATTTGTATTTATACCTGAACCTCTTCTCCTGTAGAGTGTGCATGGAAGAAAGAGACCCTTTGGTAATAAAAAAAAACCAGGGTCTCGGAAAAAGACGAAGTGACCTACTAAGAAGAGCTTTGTCCCCATCTTGCCAAACGTATCAAGAAGGACAGTACTTCCGATGGATCACGAAGAGAGTATGAAGCCAGGGTGTCCCTCGGTATGGAAGACACTACAATTGGATAGCCTTGTCCTTTACTTTTCAAAACCTGCAGAGGCCATAAAATCAACAGGATAAGTCTATGGTGCCTCTAAAAATTATTTGGATATTATATTTAAAATTAATTCTATGGAGTTGTTGATCTTGTTTTCATGTCTTTATAGTCATTTATTGTAAAATTAATTAATAAAGCTGTTTCTTTATTTACAAGATAAAAGCCTACAATATCAAATTCAATACGATACCAAAAACAATATAGTCAAGTTATGACTCAATTCGAGAGTAAGAAATAATTGGGATTGATCTTAGTTGATTCTATTGAGTTGTAATACGATGGGATTGATTTGTAACTTACGGTAGGGTGTATCATTTTCCCTAATCTTAGATACAAGTAAACTTGAGTTCTGTACCTTGAATGCGTCTTCGTCAGTTCGGTCATCTCCAATATACAGTGGGAGGACGTTGCTGGAGTTGGCAAACCCTAGAGTGTCGAGTAGATATTCTAGGGCATGGCCTTTGTTCCACTCTATTGATGGCCGAATTTCCAGAACCATTTTACCCCTAGTCAGGTGAAACCCTGGAAATTCTGCAAGCATAGACTTTACTGTCTCTTCTAATCTGCCATAATCCTGCATGTTAACAATGACAAGCGTTACTTTAAGCTGTCACTCTCTCTCTCTCTCTCTCTCTCTCTCTCTCTCTATATATATATATATATATGCATCTCGGAAAAGAAATATTTTTTAACCAGTGGTGGGTGTGGTTGAAAACATTGGAAACAACAAGGACAATATAAAAGTATGGAACTTACATCTTCTTGTACATGTCGGTAATGCACAGAGATACAGAACCTGTTGTCCTCTAGCATGACACCTTGTATTTTACAGGTGCTCTTTCCCAACTCCTTTAACATCTGTGTGGCAAGCACATGGCAGTATATGCGGTGAATTCAATGAGAAATAATAGTTTTTAATCAGACACAAAAATGCTTGTTAAATGTCAAATTTTCAACTGTATCAAGTTTCATTTACATTTATGATTAATCTTACACAATTTAAATAAAATTAAAAAAAATTGCAATTCAAATTCATATCATCTTTTAGATGAGTGAGTCTTATCAACTTTTTTAATGGGACTCTCGCATCCAAAAAATAGTATACATTTAAGTTGTATTTTTTGAGTTTTATTCCAGTTGTGTAATATTTTCCATTATTTATTGCCCTCGCAGCATAAGATGTCATACCTTTTTAATTTCAGGCAGAAAATCCTGAGCAGGTTGGAAGATGTTTACTTCGTTGCCCTACAACATTTTATTTTAGTTAAATCATAAGAAAACATGTTACATGTCAATATTTTATATCAAAATTTCAATTAATGAATGAACTGCAAAGCATACTAACGTTTTCATCAAGGGCTTTGTTTTGATACTTGCCATCATAAGACTTCAGTTGCAGTGGTGGTCCCATTATATCCATCCCATGACTCCCAGCATAATATATTTCATTTAACTTAACAAACTCATGCACCTAAAAATAGACATAAAATACACAGGAAAAAAAGAAGGGGGACATTTTGAGGTCTGATTCATGAATGTATGCAAAGAGAGACTCATTTGGAAAAATATAACACAGGGAACTAGAAAATGAGCATATTCACTTTACCTTGTCTCGGCTCCTACCGCTTATTATAGCTGTTGGAAAGTGGCTAGCAACTTCACGAACAGCTGAACGCATCTACATGTTATTTCGAATAGAGTGATCAGAATAACGTAAGCTAAGTAATCCATTTGCATATTAAGAGGTGTTATTTCAAATAATATTAATGGGCTGCAGATCAGTTTTTCTAATACGTGCAAACAGATAAAAAATTGATAAGAGGTGACAATTCTGAGTAATTACCGGTTTTGACATGATAGCATGATCAGGGTTATTTACAATTGGGGAGAGGGTACCGTCGTAATCTAAAAACACGACAAGCTGCTTCCCTTTCGTAGCGCTCATCATTTCTTTGAATGAGCTCAGCGCAGAAGGGTGTTCATTCTGCAAGTACAAAATCGAAGTTAATTGTGCAGCAGTATTATTAAAAGTGTCAAATTTGTCATAAATATCATGTACAGCCTTATTTTTTATGCTGTCTATGTGTAAAAGAAGTTCCCAACGACATACTCTTTCATAAGGAAATCATAAAAACTCACCAGCCAAGCAATATAATCTGAATTAGCTGCATTGGGTTCATGACAACAATGATCGCTCAGGTTTGAAATAGTGTGATCACCACCACTATTATCATTTTTGGCTTTTGAGATGGATTCAATGTTGTGAGTCTTGGCAAGCCATCTCCGAAACCCCATTTCCTGGTAAAGCTTAGCAATGTAAGCTCTCTCTTATCTCACCCTTTTCCTTTAGCTAGTGAAGTTGCAAATAAGCAGAGAGCACACCATGCACAAGTACTCAAGTCTCAAGCACAAAACACATTGGAAAAAAAAATTAAGAAAGAATATTGTAAGCACCTACTTATCCGACTTTTCTCCATTTGCCTAACCAGTAATCTAACCAGCCGAAGCCAATTTAACGTTAGTATTGTAGCCACAGCATCATAATATATGGAGTGTTATGTAGGAATATTAGCACCAATGTTGCTTTTGTTAGCCATACAAAAAATGCTAAGTAACTTCAAAGAACAACAAACATTGTTACCTCCTGTTGAGTTCATAAAGAAGTAACCAACTGTAAGCATGGAAAAAAATAGAGTATGAATTTCTCCACAAAGACACTTGACTCGGACTCGCATGTTGGACGTCATAATATTCTCCTTGTTGTAACTCTCAACATGAACTGTACTTATATACTGCTCTCACCTTACTTGGGGATTGCACCATACAATCAACACTACCTCAATTTCCTATCCTTGTCAATTATGGAGCGAGATCTCTCTTAAACATTTTTTTCAATGTTTTTATCTTTGGTAGATCAAAAGGGCGTATCCAGTACACGAGACTTCCGCTATTACGGGGTCTTTCTAGGATTAAATATACACAATTTTACTCCCACAAATAAAGAGGTTGTTTTCGCGATTCAAACTCGTGATCTCTAAGTTACAATTGATCAATGTTAACATTGTGCAAAGATCTGCCCTCTTTTGTCTTTGGTAGATCACCTACTGTAAATTTAAAGGAGAATTATTGTGTATAAGTGTGTTCCTCACTAATACATAGTAGATAATCTACCGAGAAAGGAAATTGAGGGAAAAAGTTTCGAAAGAGATTTGGATCGAATAATTATAATACAATGACTAATACAATTCAAAGTCATTTCTATTAATTCACTGTGGTTGCACTTTAATGTCCAGTACGTATACTGACTGATGAAAAAGTTTGTTCTATTCATAACCAAGCAAGCCAATCCAGCCTGAACTTCCAGGGAAAAATAATGGTTAAACATATACCAACCTGAATTAAACAATACCTACGCAGAGTGCGTGGGCTAAAGAAAAAATTTCACAAATCTTTGAGTTGACCTTCAACCTTCCCAGACTGCCCCAGATGCACCTTTAATGACAACTCTTTATGTACTTCAATCTTCCTGTGATAATATCCCGATATGCAACTCTTTGTTTTGCTAATAGGCAAAAATGCAAGAAGCTGGTCAAGGACGGTGGTATAGGCTGCGCATCAGTATATGTTAATTACAAGTGATAAATGTAAGTCATACAAAATACCCTTTAACGAGTTGGTCCAATCAACTTTAAGAGGAGAAAAAAGTTGATTGAATAGAGTAGAAAAAAAGTAGTCATTTTCACAGGTCAAGATGTAGTTTATGAATGGTCACCTTTCTAAAAACAAAAAATATAAGTACGTATAAAGGCAAGAAGACAATAAAGGGAACATTTAATATCAAATAAGTCGAGTTCGGTGACTCAACATTACATGGCTAATTTGAAAATTTTTGTCGAGTAGGGTTTCAAGCAACTGATTCAGCTAACACCACCGACCTGACCTAGATGGTTAACCGATTGGAATGATACGCTAAACAGTAAAATACTGCCAAGTTTGCAGAATCATATGAACAGTCTTACTCTCTCTCTCTCTCCAAAGTAAATATTCAATGAAACGGTGATTTCATGTCATAATTGATGACATGATATTATTAACTAATAATATATCCCAAGTGGACAAGGTGAATCTCACCTGAGCAAAGAAAAAAAGTAGAGAATTATTTGTTTACATAATAAAATAGTTATTAATTTTTGTGGGATTTTTTTGTTTATTTGTTTAAATATTATTAATTAATAATATCGCATCGCATTGTCACGTAATATTGATGTTGTAATGAATATTTTATCCACTCTCTAGGTAGAAAGAACTTGCATAAAAATGCAATTACTTGTCACATCAATAATTGAGGTGTATGGGGAATTCTGTGCACATGAATATAGGTTTCGGAACCTTTTTGGAGCATATTTTTTGCATGAAAACTGGGAAGACTAGAAGACCAAGAGATTGAAGAAGACATATTTACAATGGTTTTTCTCAATGATGAAGGCGTTTTTCCAAATTGATCAAGTTCTTCTATTTCAGATCAGAACCAGCTCTTCCAAAAGAGGGGGAAAATAAAAATAAAAAAACATTTTTATTACTTTTGCAAACAATATTATGGTTAGACTAAAAAGAATCGATCAGAAAATTGAAACAACAATAGATCAGAGACGATTTATGATTTTAGGTTAATCAAACAGTGTACGAAAAACAAAAGGCTGTGAGTTGAAAACATCGCTTTGCAGACTGATAAAATTTTTGGATGGTTAGGAAAATTCTTGTGAGGCAAATTGAGATCTGGCAATTTCTATGAAACAAGTACCTGCCATGGAACATAATATCAGCTCCTTTAATTGACATTTTAAGTCCACTTGTATTTTGCAATCGCAAAAAAAAAAAATAATAAATAAATAACTAGAAAAGTAATTTCGAAAAGCTTTATGCATTTGAGATTTATACTCCTTTTGTTAGGAATGATAAAAAGTGTGAGAGATTAAAAAATAAGAATGATACATTTTTTATCTTCCAAGAAAAGTAAGAATAATACACTTTCTTCCATTTATGTTTGGTAGGATAGATGGATAGAAAGTAAAAATAATTAATTTTTTTATGTTTGGTATTAATGAAAAAATATAGATACATAATATGTAATTGATATATATATATATATATATATATATATATATATAGACCAATACCATATATTTCAACTCACATAATAAATTTTTCATTTATTTTTTTCTCTCAATTTTAGAGGAATTAATTTTAGTGAGTTAAAAAAAAAATAATCCATTAATTTTTTTATTCTTCCTATTTTCTTTTTTGATCAAATATGTTATTTTTTCAATTTTTTATCTTTTCAATTTTTTTATTTTTTTATCGTAACAAACAGAAGATTTAGAAAAGATCGCATTCCACAAAGAGCCAATTCAGATTTTTTAAAGTGAGTAAGTTAGACTATTAGAAGAGAACAGAAAATTGTTGCTGTCATCTGCAATAACCATCTGTCAATCTTTTTTTCGACACGCCAATGGTGCAACATAATAAAATTATTGTACAGCCATTATAATACTGACAATTGATGATGTACAAATTAATTTACATACTATTTGACAAGTAAGCAGTATAAATGCAGTAAAATAAGTAAAGAGAGAGAGAAAACAAAGTTTATAGTGGTTCGGTCAACGTAATTTACGTCCATTTTAAATGGTAAGGGTCGCCGGTAATGTATTAACTCCGGCGTGTAAAAAAAGCAAGACGTTACAAGTTTTGAGAGAAAATGAGAGAATTATCTCGAATGAATCTAATGTCTCCTAAGTATTGGTGAAGCTTACAATTTATAGTGGCTTAGTGTAATAATTGAATAGCTAGTCTGATGGTCAAAACAGATTGGAGCCGTTTAATAGTCATAACGAATTGAGGTGATTTTAAGAGTAATTAAATAGTTTAGCGACCTCTCATCTCCTTAATCGCCAAGGAAGTTATGGTACTTTCCAAAGGATTTGATCAAAGGATGAGAGAATGTTGACTTTCTTCGAGCTGCGAGGGAGAGGCTTCTGAAATGACCCTTACTCCAAAATAGTAGATGAGGCTCTTGGATAACCCTCACATTGAGCTTGATGAGCTTGACCAAGATGACCACATTGAGCTAGACTTGGTGGATCTCTTAAAGTTGGGCCTTTAACTCAAATTGGGCTTATAACATGAGTTGGACCTTTGGGCTTGACCCATCATTTGTCCCCTAATGCCCTATGTCTAACAGAACTTGGAAGGAGGACATTCAGTTTGAGTTCGAATTTTTGACTGATCGGCATAACTGAAAAAACTTCGAGAGGCCAAAGCATGTGCTTTGAGGCCTTTTTTGGGCTTTTAACAACATCAATTATAGCCAAAGGCTATTAGTCTTGTAGGGCTCACCAAATATTTCGATTTGATATATTATAAGTGTCATTTGAAATAACGGAGCAAAAGTTACAGTCAAAATAGCAAGCAGAGAATTGACGCGTGCAATTTGGGAAAGCAAACACTATTTTGGGCGAGCTAACGTTGTTCTGGGTGAGCAGGTACTGTTCCAAGCAAGCTGGCTTTTGATATATATATTTTTTTAAAACTTCAGGAGGCCAAAACACCTATTTTTGGGCATTTTTTGGATTTTTTTTGAAAAGTTCATTACCAAAGATAATAAGATTTGTTTAGCTCGTCGAAAGTTTCAATTTGATATATAATAAGTCCTATTTTGAGTTACCTTCAAAATAGTGTACAACCCCTATTTAAATCCAAATTTTTTGAAAACCCTTCTTGATTGGTGACCCCATCCCTTCTAGTAGACTCATTTTCCTTGTTGGACTTCATGGACTATATAAACTCCTGTTTTCACTTCCCTTTTAGATTTTTGAAGAGATCATTGTTGTCTTTGAAAAAGAAGAGCAGGGAGCTGAGAGGAATGGTTTAGGGGAACAGCCTGCTGTACACACGTTTGGGGTGCGCGAGGAGGAGGCGTTGGGCTCCTAGGCTATGGTGACCCCAATTTTGGTGAGCAAGCCAAGCGAAAGAGGGATTCAACGCCCAAGTTGTGGTGACCTCAATTGGGCGAGCAAGCCAAACGAGAGAGGGAGACGCGCAGATGTATGGGCTTACCTCGGGCGTTGTTAGCGTGCAAGAGAAAGGTAGGCTGCTTGCACGAGAGCAACGACAGAGTTTTGAGGATTGCTCGTGAGAGAGGTACACTTTTTGAGATCAAACTTTTGGCGACCCATGAAAGAGTCTTTAAGCTTGAGGTATAGGCTGCTTGCTTGAGAGTAGAGCAGATGCCAAGTTTTTGAC